ACTCTCCCAGCTCGCCCCACCCTCTTCCCCGCCATGTCATAAGTCCGTTGTCTACGTCTGTGTCTCTCTTCCCACCCTGCAACTAGTTCCATCAGTGCCATTTTTCTAGATTTCATGTATATATGTGCGTTAAAATAAATCAGACATTCTTAAGGCATGAACTGTACTGTGGTGATAGATGAGGGCTTCAGCTCTTTAGCCCCAAGAGTAGATAAATTCTTTGCTTCCAAGTAAAGACGCATAGAGATGTCACGTGTCACCTTCTTGACAAGTGCGGTGTTTGGACAAGTCGGGCTGCTTCCAGTCGGCGTGAGGCATGAGCTCCCTGAGCACCCGCGGGGCTTCTCTCCCGTGTATCCGGGTCCCATCCCTGCTCATCATCTGCTTGGTCCCAAACACAGCCCCAGAATGAGCTTCTCCCCTGCTGCAGGATTTTGTGCCCATCAGATCTCAGAACCTGGCTTAGAAGTGGTGACTCACTCATGATTCCTCTTGTCTTCCTAGGCTTAGGGCTAGACCCACTCCCCCGGGAAAAGCTCCTCTAGCTTCACTGGTTTCAGTCTGACCCAAGGACAGGCTGGGCAGGATGGGCTGCGGACCATCGAGGGCCGGGGGATGGGAAGAGTCCATAGTTTTAGTGTCAGAAGTTGCTGCTGCCTCTTAACTGTGTGATTCCATACACCTAAGAGTCCTGAATGCCGTTTCCCCAGCTGTGAAGTGAGGACAGTCATGTCTTACTGGGCTTCCTGCTGAGAACCAGGTGGCTGGCCATGAACGGGTCTGCTTCCTGACCTTGGTCACCTGTCGCCTCTTACAGAATGGTGCTGGTGGAATGTTGCTGTTTTCTCTAGGGGGGCAGGGGGTGCTGCATCGTCTGTGGACACAGGCCCTGTCACCCCAGGCACAGCTGGCTGCTGAGGGGTGCAGGAAGGCAGGAGGCTTTCTCTGCAGCCTCTTGGAGGCTCTGGACTGGCCAGAGGGCCTGCCTTCTTCTTCCTAGAGAATCCCCTCCACATTCTTGCCCTCCTGCACCTGTTCTGGCTGCACTGGTTCCCTCGCTGGTCTCCGAGATGTTTGCAGTCCCACTGCAGGGTCTTGGCACTGGCCACGCCCGCCCAGTCCTACCCCTCACGTGACATCCCTCAGCCCACCTCCCACAGCCCCTCCACGCTAGGCCGTGGCTGCACCTGCCTCCCTGCGTGCTCCTCCCCTGGGGGTTGTCAGGAGCCTTGCTGGCAGGCTGGGGCGGAGTCAGTGTGTGGGGGTTCCAGCTGCTGTCATCCACTTAGGTGATGGGGGGCTGCTGGAAGGCATAGAGGGCCGGCCTTCAAGGAGTTCGCTCTCTATTTACAAACTTACACTTATGGTTGGTGTCAGATTGTCTTGAGTCACTGTGTGTTACTTCAGTCTAACTTGGTCTAACAGCTCAGGCTGCAGGTGAAACTGAAATACTGTGAGGGTAGGCTGAGGCCTAGCTTTCTGATTGTATTGCTTGTATGTAGGTATGTATTTGTTTACCTGTTTTTCATGTGTTTATGTGTGTGTCTACGTATCCTCTGTTTATCTATCAGCTCTCCAACCTATTTATCATCTCTCTTGTACCATCTAGCTGTGCATTTATCGTCTAACATCTGTCATGTGAAGGGCGGTGGCATTCAGGACTTGCTGTGGGCGAGGGCTGGCTCGGACCCTCTGTGGAGCCGCGAGGCTTTGAGGCTGCTGCAGGGAGTGTGGGTGCTGCCCCTCCAGGCCCACCCTCCCTGCCCTCCTGGGGCTTGAAGCCCAGAAGCTGCTCAGCTTGGTGGCTTCTGGAACAGGAGGTATCTCTTGCTCATGTGCTGATTTGGGGAATTACAGGGCAAAACTAAGTCGGTTCTCTTGAACCTTGAAGCCACACCACAGGAGAGTGTGGAATGATGGCGGCTTTTGGAGAAAGCTTTGTAGCCCCCTTGAAACTCAGCGCCCGTGTGCCAGGAATGACGAGGGAATTCCCCACAGTGTTCAGGAGTGACCCTCACAGGCTAAGCTGTGAGGCAGGGTTGGCCTGGGGGCGGGCAGCTGGGCCTGGTCGTGTCAGTGCTCAGACATCAGCAGGCGGGGCTGGGATGCAGGACCCCCATGGTGTCCCCTCCCTTCAGGGTGGTGTTGTCTGCTCTCCTACTTTGCTTTGTCACATAGATTTGCACAAACTGCTTACCAGGGTTTGCAAACTTCCTAGTGAAAATGCAGAGACGTTTGCAAATATCAGAAGATATAATCAGTCCCTTGTGCTGGTTGATTGGGAGCGGTGGTCTCCAGACAGGTTTACATACTCACCTCCAGGGCTGGGACCTACGTATGTTTAATTGTAATGGAGTGTGAATGCACTACTGTTCATTTATTTATAAATTATGTACATGTCCCACATTGCAGAGATATTTTGTGCCTTCCTTATACACATTCACAGTATAAAGCAAAACGGAAAGCGCATGAACTGAAGGAACAGTAGACAGTGCTGTGTGCCTTCGAATGGGGACAGTGGTTCTCAGATGTGGGGATGTTTGGAGTCAGGTTAGCTTAAAACCAGCTCTTCTGGAACCTTGATGATCTGCCAAGACTAGTAGTTGAGTCCTAAGGGAGATGAAGTCCTTGGGATGAAGGCCAGGCTGGATGGCCCTGTGCACAGTGTTCAGGGCCTGTGACCTGGCCGTGGTGAGGGCGGGGTCACTTTCAGGCCCCTGCAGCTGTCATGCAGTAACTCTAGGTAGGCCAAGAATGTTCCGTTCCAAGATGCTCAGTGGCTCCCTCACTGTCTTCCCTCCAGGACTGTCTGGGTTCTGTCACTGGCGAGAAGACCTGAATGCCACACCAGGAACTGGCACCTCATCTGAGCTGACCCTGGTGTTGGCGCTTTCTCCAGTTACAGATGTAAACTGTGTTCTCGGTAGAAAAGGAAAAAAGTGCACGTGGAAGAAAAAACAAGAAAAAATATGTAGTGGGACATTCCAGAAACACGCTGCTGCCCAGGCAGCCTGCACACTGATAGATGTTCCCAGGTGTGTGTGTGTAGGTGTGAGTGTGTGTGTGTGAGTCACACACTCTGGACCAGGGAGCGATCACGTGGCTGTCGTGACTGTTAGTTCTATTGCTGTCACACATCACGGCGTCTCTCCAGGCCCACAGGTCTGTCACCATCTGTGAGCCCCATGTTTTATCTAATGTAACGAAGTCGCAGGGTTGAGCTCTTAGGCTGTGTATTTTTCCCTGTTATACACATCATAATGCAGTGAGCACCCTGGTCCCTAGAGACTTATGGACTTTCCCAGTAATTTCCTGAGTCATTCCTCACATTGCTGTCATGTGTTTCAGACCTTTTAAGAGCTTTTTGTATCTATGGACAAGATGTTTTCTAAAATGATGAATTAGTTTACATTTTATTTACATTTTAGCAATACTTTAAAAAAATATATTTTAGATTTTAATCTTTGCTTTCTAATGGACCTCCCCCCAAATCTCATTGTTTGGCGTCCATCTGGCCTGAGCCATCAGAAGTCTGGGATGCTGGGAAGATGGGCAGGACCGGTGTGGAGCCTAAAACAGTACAGACATGGGGTGTGAGGCCTGTCGCCCACTGGGAGGTGGTCTCGGAGGCTGCGGACACTGGAACAGTGGAGGGCAAGTTCTGGTACCTGGCACCCATGGGGACCATCTCAGTGGGTCCCAAGACACCTCTGCGAGAGGAGGAGATGAACTAGAGGCATGTGTCCTGGCCAGGAAAGACCAGCCACTGCGTGTGGACACCCAGAGCCCACTCTCACATCTGAGCATGGAGGAGAGTGCCTTCCAGGTTCTGCTTTTGTCTGGGGCCCAGGTCGCGACCTCTGCAGTTTGGGGTTGGCTTGGCCACATGCTGTGTAATTTCAGGAGGTCATCTCTCTCACTGATCCCTGAAATAAACTTGGTATTCACTCTTCATCCCTTCGCTTCACACTGGGGGAGCCACTGTGAGCCAGGTGCCCAGGTGGGACCCCAGGTGATGGGGGATGTCAGGTCCTGTCTGAGAAGGGTTCCCCAGGGCCAGGGTGGGCAGGAGCAGAAGGGGGTGCCGGGGCTCTGTCCACCTTGGCCAGCTCTAGCATGCTGCATGGTCGCCCCTGTGTCACCTACTCAGAGCATGTCCTGGGCTGGTCCACACAGCGATGTCCGTGAGACGCAGCAGGCGGGGAGGAGCTCACAGAAGGCAGGAGAGAAGAGCCTCCTGAGAGGAAGGCGCTCGGGGGAGCCGAGACAGGGACATCTGGATTCTCCTCCCCCTCTGCCGTTTTCCATGAGACCTTACACCTCTCTCTGGCTTGGTTTCCCCCCTTCTGAAATGGGGAGGTAATTTCTCTCACAAAGTTACTGGATTCATCTCCTGAAATAGTGGATATAGAGGAGCCTGGTGGGCTACAGTCCACAGGATCACAAAGAGGTGGACACGACTGAAGTGACTTTAGTTCGCACACACGCCTTGGAGTTTAACACACACACTCACACACACACACACGAGGGTTGTATAGACTGTAAAGTAATTATAACCTGAAATTTTTTTCCCTGTCGGATAAGCTTTTCAAAAATAGAGTGGTAAAAATAGAAAATTCTCTCAAAATCAGTAACGGGTTCTTTTGAGCAGATATAACAATAATGATGTAATAGTGGCCAACGTTGACTGAAGGCTTCCTGTATACCAGGACAGATAGGCCATGACCAAGGACTGCTTACCTTGCCCTGACCAGGGGTCATGGGAACCCGCCCTGCTGTTGATAAGTGGAATTGTATCACTTGGGATCTGAGGTCTTAGGGCTGAGATGTCCTGATAAGCTGGCGACCCTCCCAGGTGATAAGATGAACCGAGAGTGAAGGGTCTAACAGTGTTTATGATCATGTGAATCAACTGCCATCCTTCCTTCCTGGTGGGGTTTGCAATGTGTGGGATGGCAGCACAGGAGATTTGAGAATGATCCTTGTCTTGTCCTTTGCAGGCTCCAGGGGCATCATCAACACCTGCTTCTCTGTGCTGTGACAAACCGTTTAGGTGAGTGTCCATCACTGAAGCTACTTCTGAGCCTCTGGCCTTGGGTCAGCTCTCGCAGAGGAAGCCCGGGCATGGTGTTATTTTATTCTGTAGTAATCTTAATGTCTTTTTCAATTTTAAATAGAAATGCTCAAAGCTGATAAATATCATATATGTGTTTCATTCTGGAATGTAATGTCCCAGCATTAGAAACCTTGGTTGTGGAAACGTCCAATCAGTAATTATGTTGCTGTGATTTGATTGTGAAATGTAGCATTGGAGAGAGTTCTAGAATTGACTTCAGCACGTGAAAAACTCATTATTTTTTAATAGGTCAGTGTTGCTCAGTCTTGTTCAACTCTTTGCGAATCCATGGACTGTAGCCTATCAGGCTCCTTTGTCCATGCAATTCTTCAGCAAGAATACTGGAATGGGTTGCCGTTCCCTTCTTTAGTGGATCTTCCCGACCCAGGGAGCGAACCTGAGTATCCTGCATTACAGGCAGATTCTTTACTGTCTGAGCCTCCAGGGAAGTTCCCGTGTCAAAAGATGTGATTTGATTTTTTAAAGTAAACAGAACTATTTTACATTCATACCTGGTGCATAAGGTAGAGAAAAATATCTTGGTGATTGTTGGTGTTTGAATAAGCCAATTTAAAAAAATACATTTATGATACTGGATATTTGAAGATATTTATTTTGGGCATCATAATGGCATTGTAGATATTTCTAAACATATCTTTGTCTTTTAGAAATAAATGCAAAATTACTTATAGAAATGACATATAATATCTTGGGTTTTTTCAGGGCAATCACAGTGGGGAAGGGGATAGTGGGGAGTATGGATGGAAAAAGCTTGGCTGTGTGTCCATTTTGAAATTGGATGATGAATACTTAGAAGTTTGTTTAAACTATTTAGTATACTTTTGAATTTTTTTCATAATTAGGAGAGAGACTCATGTAATAGGAGTAGTACACAAACAATAGCTATGAGCCCCTAAAGCTGGTGGTGGGGGATTTGATAGATTAAAACTACACTCCCGTGACTGCCCTGCACCGCTCCATGGATTCACCAGTCTTTGAGGTTGACCCCATCACCTCTCACCTGGATTTTTCACTTTCTATTCCTGACAGCACCTGCAGCCCTAGAAGGCTCTTCCTGGGAGGGGCTCTGGGGCCTGTGGTCCCCATTGCACAGTCCTAGTGATGAGGAAGCAGAGCCTGGATGCTGCGTGCTGGACACATTATCCTGGGCTCACCAGGCTGCAGGCTCTCCCCACCCAGTAGCCCTCACTAAGTCCTCCCCTCTGCTGGCTTCATTGCATGGCGTTTTTATCCTCTTCCAGACCCCATCCTCCTGATACCTGACGCCTGCCCTCCAGGTTAACCCAGGTGCAGTCTCAGCAGAGCCAGCACACAGCTCTTCTCATATAGACGCCAGCCCTTGCCTCCCAGCTGCTGGAATTCCCTCCCAGCTCCTCCTCTCTGCAGGACAGGCCCGCCTCCTCCCTGGATAGCGGGCCTCCACATCTCCCCCAGGATGGGGCCTGCAGATGTGACTAGGCACTTGTTGATGTCTCTCAGCCTTGGCCTCTTGCTCTGCCATCCATCTGTCTCATGGGCTTCCTCCCTGCTGCCTACACCTGACTTGACACTCAGAGTAAGGAATGCTCCTCCTTCCAAGATCTGGGCTCTCTGAACTCATGCCCGCCCACGGAGGCCCTCTCTCTGCTGGCTTTCCATCAGGCCTGCCCCCTACCAGGAGCCTTGGTGTATTCCCCGCTTGTAGCTAGTAGTGCCCCGGTCATAACCGTTAAGGAAGTTTAGCTTTGTGCCCTCCTGTGATGAGAATCAGTAAATTCCCAGAAGCCTGTCATCAGGTCCGGATGTGATCAGTGAGCGCATGTCCCTCCTGGCGCTTGGCCCCTTTCCTGACAGCCGCCCGTGTGTCTCCCAGGCCTGCAGGGCTGAGCCCCGCCATGGAGGACGGCCGCGAGCTGGATCTCACCTACATCACTGAGCGCATCATCGCCGTGTCCTTCCCCGCGGGCTGCTCCGAGGAGTCTTACCTGCACAGCCTACAGGAGGTGACGCGCATGCTGCGCTCCAAGCATGGGGACAACTACTTGGTGAGTGGGGGACACTGAGCATGAGGGAGGCGAGGGACCCTGAGGGTGGGGACCGTGAGGATGGCCAGGGCACGCCGGCGGGGGTGGGGGACTGGGGGGCGCTGAGTTTGCTGAAACTTGATGAGCGAAGGTGCCCATGTGTGGGGACTGAGGAGCCTGCGGGTGGGAGTACAGGCCGGTTCCTCTGCAGTTGGCTTCATAGGCGGTGGCGTGGGGAGGGGGCCCGCCACAGGGAGGCTGTCCTGCCACATAGCCCGCTGTGCAGTGGAGCGTCTGGGCTCCTCGTGGAAGCGCAGCCACCCCATGTGCACCCCGAGGACCTCCAGCTTCCTTCCCTGCTGCTGGGGTTAGCACCCCTGCCTCTGAAGTGAATCCGGGACTGGAGGGTAGGCATCCAGAACTATCTTCCACCCCAGTTCCCTTTCAAACAGACATGAGGTTGTTGAACGGAGCACAGGTCTGAGGAAGGTGCTGTGCGGTGCTTAGTCACTCAGTCGTGTCTGACTCTCTGCAACCCCATGGACTGTAGCCGCCAGGTTCCTCTGTCCCTGGGCATCCTCTAGGCAGGAATACTGGAGTGGATTGCCATGCCCTCCTCCAGGGGCTCTTCCCAACCCAGGAATCAAACCGGGGTCTCCCGCATTGCAGGTGGATTCTTTACCAGCTGAGCTACCAGGGAAGTCCACTGTTTCTAGCCCATACAGGGATCGAACCCGTGACCTTGGCGTTATTAGCACCTCACTCTAATCAACTGAGCTAACCGGCCAGTTGAGGAGGATGAGGAGGACCAGTCTTCCTGAGCATTCTCTTTCTCCACCTACCCTTTCTTGTTCCCGAGGCCCCGGTCCGGCAGGTGGCTCTGTGGCTCTGTCTTCCACTATTTGAGTTAGATGACAGCTCCTCCTCCCTTCTCCAGACCTGCTGCTAGAAGCCCTCTTTATCTCCATAAGGCAGCTAATCTTTACCCTAAACTGACAAGGCAGTTATTGTCATCCTTATCGGTCTCTTCAGATGTCTAAACGGCTGGGCGGGTAGCCCTGGAGGCAGATAGAGGGAGGTGACTGCCCAGTGGCTTCCAGCAGCCCCTGCCCAGCCAGTGGCTTTCCCACTGTCCTCAGCAAGGCCTGATGACAGGCAGGGAAGGTAGGGTCCAGCCCATGAGATCCGGGGTCCCACCTGGTCCTTGATCACAGCTGCAGGAATGGTCTCCTCCTGACACCCAGCCCAGGGAATGGGATGCCTCCTCCCTCCTCCCCCGCTCGCTGCTCACCGCGGGTGAGGGCCTGGGACCTGAGGCCTGGGATCAGGGGGCTGGGGGCTGGGGCAGTTCCACTCATAGTGGTGGTGCCTTGTCAGAGCCTGAGTCCACCTTGCAAAATGGTGAGGCTGTGGGTCCTCACCTCATTCGAGGATATGGACCTTTCTGAAAGTGGGAGGAAAGATGTGTGTGTCTTCCATGGAGCCTGAGTTGAGAACCCTGGGGTGGACACAGTTCTTCCCCACTGCACATCTGAACTGTGTGCTCTGACAAGCACATGTGGAGGCCGATCACTGCCCCCGCCTGCCGCCAACACATACACACAGCTATCTGGTTAGGCCACAGGTGTTGGCTCTCTGAGGCAGGTTTTAATGGAGCCGTGGTCCAGGGTGCAGCTAGTTCTGGGGTAGAGGAGCCGTGGACCCCATCCCTGGAGCACGCTTCCTCTCAGGTCTCTTTAGCATCTATCTCTGAAGAGAGAAGCGTGTGGAGCCCCTTCTGCTCCTATGCTGTTCTTAGTTCTTCCTTTGCTTGAGGTGTGATCAGGTTCCACAGACAGCCCTGTTTCTCTGTGAGCCTGGGGCTCTGGGCTGGGGCTTCCTGAGACCAGGCCCCCTGCAGGCCCAGGGCCCTCCACCCTGTACCTTGTTCTTTTGAGGAACCAAGGCTAGTCCTGTAGGACGTGTTTGCTGTCCTCAGAAGTGTTAGTTGCTCAGTCGTGTCTGACTCTGTATGACCTCATGGACTGTAGCCCACCAGGCTTCTCTGTCCATGGGAGTCTCTAGGCAAGAATACTGGAGTGGGTTGCCATTTCCTCTTCCAGGGAATCTTCCTGATCCAGGGATCCCACCTGAGTCTCCTGCATTATAGGCAGATGCTTTACCATCTGAGCTGCTAAGGGGTGACTGTCCTTATTATCTGTTTTGTTTTTCATTCCATGACGATTACATATCTATACATTTCAGTCTTTTTCATAATCTGCCAAATCTCAAAGGCAAAGAGCCTGTGAGAATGCAGTTGTTCCCTTTGGTCTGAGGACAATGATTAGTCTAATAGCTTCTTATTTCCCCTTTGTAGGTGTTAAACCTCTCGGAAAAGAGATATGACCTTACGAAGCTTAACCCAAAGGTAGGACCTTAGCCCTTTGTATATTCTGAGTTTTGTTAAATGTCTGTGATGCTTATCCTGCTCATGCCAAAAGGGTATGTAGCAAGTCTCTGTGGAATATGACTTAATGAGGGCTACTAGGAACTGTTCACATTCATGGCTTATTTTTTTCTAAAATTTTTTAGTTTGAAGTAGTTATAATGTCACAGGAAATTGTAAAAATAATACAGGGCGATCCCACACACCCGTGACCCAGCTGTCCCCAGTAGTTCTGTCTTGCATGACTTGTAGTAAAATATTGATGGCAGGAAGTTGACGTTGGTACAACCCACAGACTGCGTGCAACTTCCACTGGGTTTACATGTAGCAGGTGTGTGTGTGTGCGCGCGCGTGTGTGAGGTTCTCTGCCATCTCATTCTATGTAGATTTACGTCACCGCTACCACAATCAAATCCAGACATTTTTACCTCCTTCCTGCCCCGTCTCTACAGCACACTCTCCCCTTCCATATATTATTCTTTTTAATAACAAAGATTTAGGGGGACATTTTTAAGACTGTTTAAGTGTAAGTTGTGGTATATATGATATATATACACACACATACTATATTTCATATGTTGGATTATTTTGAAGCCATTAGGATAAAAAAATAGTATGGTAAATTGCCTGTTTTATTGCTCATTAACAAGGGCAGAATATGTATGATAGTATTTCAGCTACATAGAAAAAGAATAAGGGATTCATCAGAATGATGAATCAGCTGATCACTGATACAGCTGATCACTCTGCATGGCTGAATGGGTGTGTGCCTTTGCCTGCTTCAGCATTTTTCTGAATTTTTCCATCAATACATAATTGCTATTGCTTTTATAATAAGACGGAGCTCTGCCTCCCCTCCCTTCTTAAAAAAGGAAAGGAAAGCAAAAATAACAGCCCTGCATGGCCCGCAGGCTTAGAGGTGGGGGTGTGTGTCAAGTGGCTCAGAGTGTGTGTTTTGGGGCACAGACTTTCTTTGTTCCTGAATTGTAACCAAGGTTTGAAGGCCTCCTCCCTCCCTCCTGGGCACATTCCTCTCTTTTGAGGAGTGTCACGTGTGATAGGCATCTCCCTCCCCATAGTTATCTGCCCCTTGTGTGGGGGAATGGCTCACCGCATTTTCCCAAACTGCGATTTGAGTCTGAAGAGAGGAATTTTGGCAGCAGCTCATGCCAAGAACTCCTGTTTCAGATCTTGCCAGGCCTGGGCCTCTCCCCATGAGCCATGCACCATTAGCAGCTCCTGAAAGCCCTTTCTAGAATTGTCATTCCAGCTGCACAAAAGTAGATAAGACCAGGGAGTTGATGTCTCGTGGGGAAAATATAATCCTTCATATTTTTCTTTCCAGTAAAGGAGCCGCGGTTCCCACTAAGTTTTAGAAAAGGAACACACAACGTTGTTCTGTGTTATAAAATGAAATATTTTGCCAAATTAAAAAAAAGAAAAGGTCTTGAGATGGCTTCATAGGGCTTCTTAGAGATGGACACCAGGAAGCCTCCTCTCTTTCCCCATAGATTCTGGACGTGGGCTGGCCGGAGCTGCACGCACCACCCCTGGATAAGGTGTGCACGATCTGCAAGGCGCAGGAGGCCTGGCTGAACAGCGACCCCCAACACGTGGTCGTCATTCACTGCAGGGTGAGCACCCATCCGGGGGCCCAGGGGGACTTACCTCTTCACTCTGATTGCCTGCTTCTTTAGGGGTTTGTGATTAGGTTTTCATACGTATCCTGAGGGGAGGGAAGTAGTTATCCAGTCTCCTGGAGTCTGGCTTCAGAATGTATAGGATTGAGGTTCCTAAGTGCACAGTTGTACATGGTGATGCTAAGGTGGGGGCCTCTGGGAGGTAATCCTTTCATTTTCATGCATTTTTTGTTTTTCACGGAAAGCTCCTGTTTAAAAAGCAAAGGGCGCTGTTAAGGCATACAGCACTGGACTCTGTGCCACCTGAGTGATGCCAGTTGATTGGCATGAGACTGTGGGCAGGATGCTACTGCAGGAGTCACATGGTCCTTTCCGAGCAGGCCAACCTGGTGGGGTGGATGTGACATGTCCACGCTCGCAGGGTGGCCGCGGGGATGTCAGCGCCTTGTCCAGGCTTCCTGACCTGCTAGGCACCCTTCTCCGACCTCCTGGAACTGCCTCTCCTCTTACTTCGGTTTCTCAACTGCCTTGGCTTGTTCGTAGCCTCTTCCTGCACTACTCTGGATTCCTCAAATCTGATGCGTTTTCCCAGACACCTTGAGCTCACCCAGCATGTGGCAGGAATGCTCTGAGAGGGGTGGGGGGGCGAGGGGTGGGGCTCTGTCCCAGAAGAAGGGGTCTGCCCCCTGCTCTGTACCCTTTACCCCATCAGGACGTCTCGAAAATATAGACATTTCCTCCTTGAAATGTTTCTTCCTTCAGACTTTTCATACTCAGAAACTGCACAAAAGCCCTTTGCACTATGGACCTTAGTGTAAAAGAACCTTCCTTTTGAGTTATCAGACTTTCCAGGTGAGTTTCCTGCAAGGGTACTGAATGAGGAGGGCAGACAGCGGCTGACGGTGTTCAGAGCTCCCACACGGTGAATTCGATGGTCACTTGGCTGAGAGGAAGAGCCTCTGGGAGCACACACAGTGTTTGCCGCTCTCTGCTTCTGTTGCTTATTCTCACATCAGATTTGCTTACATTCTCCCACAAACAGCCAGGGAGCCCCATTAGTTCTCAAATAAATTAAGTTAACCAGAACTTTTATTCAAGGATTATGTTATGTTAAGGTGCTTCTCTCCATATTTGTATTTTGGTGCAAGCTTAAAACAAAGAAAGAGACTCTTTTTTTTTTTTTTTAAAACAATTCTTGTCACTTAAAATGAGCTCTGTATTTTTCACTGGGTGTGGCCTATTGATTTTTGCATGTGAGGATACTGCTGATCGGCCTCTGTTGCCCAAGATCCCTTCACAGGCCTGTGAAGCAGTGGTTTCTAAACCACCCAGAGCACTGCAGTGCTCAGCACTGGGGAGAAATGCCCACCTGGGGCACCCCGACTTGCTGCCAGCTGTGTCTCCCGAGGATTCTGGCTCCTAGACCTTGAGGTGCACCCCCTTCACCGTCATTCCATTTCCACAGTTCACTTTTTTAATGAACTGAATTATAAAACTGTTTATAATGTCTGGGCCACAAGTGATGAACTTACCACGTAGAGTTACCTAAAACATCCTTTTCCTAAACTACGCTTGCCTTTTGGGAGAAGTCTTGGTAGTGGGATTAACTGGGAACATGTTGAAACTTCTTGGAAACCATTTGCTCATCTCTTGCCCTATTCTGGTGGCCTGTGAACCCTTCTGGAGATGATCCAGGAAACATGTCATGAGAGAGAAGCCCTCTTAATTTGAATTTACAGATGTTGACTTCAAGAGAAATTCACCGTGGTTGCTGTGGGGCTGAGACTGCTGACTTTCCCCTAAACCTGCCAGCCCTGCAGAATGGGCTCTCCCTGCCCATGAGTGCCAGGAATGGCATCCTGGCCTGGGGAGGGCAGACAAGGACCAGACTGTGTGACCCCATCTCCCCGCTGGATGCCCAGGGTGGTGTCTGTGTGTGCTCGTCCTCACCCTACCCACGCTAGTTTTGAGTAGAAATAGACTGTGGTTCTTCTGGACAGTTTCACCCCGTCCATATTGTTTCATCTTAAGTTGCTGGTGGAGGATACTCACTGGGACTTTTGTCATCAGTGATTTCTCTTAAGAACAGATGAAAGCTGTTTGGGTCCTAAAGAATGTGGCTTGTGCTTAAAGACTTCCTGTCCATAATGAGCAGCATTAGAGACAGTGGCAGTGAAGTCCTCCATGTGCCTGACTTGGCGGAGGTGTTGTTCCCTGCTGGTGAATTTATATAAGAAACATACTTGTAACTGCATGGTTATAACTGCAGGTGCCAGGGTTCAGGACCAGTGGTGTGTCTGCACTGAGTTTCTGAGGCATGCACTCAATGCTCACGAGACAGAGAGGAAAACCCTTCTAGGGGATAGTCACACACCAGAATTTTGACCTGAATTTCCTTTATCGTTCCTTTTTAAGAATAGATGAAGGATCTGCATGTTGGTGACGCAGCCGTTGTGGCCCACGTGATCCTAGATCACGGGTTGTTGACTCTTCTTGAGAGAACCTAAACAGGGCTCTCCAGGCTTTGGGGCCCACAGACTACTCCCACCTGCCACTGAAATCACCCCAGATGCACCGAAACTAGCAGGCGTAGCTGTATCCCAGTCACATTTATTTGTGGACACTGACATTTGAACTTGATATGATTTTCGAGTGTCATTGAAATACTGTTCTTTTGATTTTTCTTCAGCTGTTTAGAAATGATAAGACAGCTCTTAACTCCAAGGGATACAGATGGTGGGAAGTGGCTGGTGGGCTGTGGTTTGCTGATCACTGTCCTGGGTCATGACAGTGTGTTTCAGAAGGTAGCAGTCCACGGTTCTGGTTGAGGTGGTCCCATCACAGAGCTGCGGTGCTTTCAGAACCTTCTGTCGGTGATGTTGGTCTGAGGTCCTGCTGGGCTGCCTTGTCTGGGCAGTGCGTGTCTGTGGTTATGGACTGAGTGATGCATTTTCCATAAAGCTGCTTCGGAGGGGCGTCCTCTGTGACGGCGCAGGGCTGGGTGGGTGGTGCCCAGGATGCTGTGATGCGGCCGCACCCTGAGATTGGCTGTCCTGGTCTTCTGGACTTCTCTGGGCTCTGTGTGTAGCCCTCAAAGCCCTCAGCTTGTAAGTGGGGCATGCGGGTCTCTCTCACCAGGGTGATTAAGTCACACTAGTGGCTTCCACCCAACAGTTTTTTTCTGGCCTCACTGGGAAATGAGGAACTGACTGGCCACCTCTGTGCAGACCTGACCTCGGGCGTGTCCTCAGATGGCCTGGTTAGCACCTGCTCCTGCTGTTAGTACCCCACGTGTGTGTTCTCTGCTGAGCTGGGTGCTGCCGTCCCTCAGAACAGGGACCAGAGGAGGGTAATGCTGGCTTCCCTGTCAAAGCAGGCTCTTTGCCATCCTGTGAAGGAAGCAGTGCTTTCCTGTTCTAATGACCTCTCTTCCATCTCCTGCAGGGTGGAAAGGGACGCATCGGCGTGGTCATATCATCTTACATGCACTTCACCAATGTCTCAGCCAGGTAGGAGGGAAGTGTCCTCACTGCCGTGGGTGTTGGGATGCTCTGAGGCTGGGTGGGCAGGAGGCGGACCCCTCGGAGCTGACTTGGAGACCTCGGCTCGTGTCCCTGGTGCCTAGAAACCCAGCTGCAGCTGAGGGTGTGCACTCAGTGAGCAGCTATGTATGATTCACACAGAAACTTCCGGGAGGCGTCACCGATAAAGCGAGTGCACTGTCAATCTGTGTCAAGGCTGGTGGGGACAGACATTACCATTAGTAAAACCAAAGCAGTGCTTCTCACTGGACACCTCACATTCTGCACATATCCATGGCGACGGCCATGGCCGATGTGGTTTACATGCACTGGGTCTCTGGGAAACACTTTGCATATTTCGTTTTTCTTGCTCAATCCTCCCAAGTAATCCAGGAGGGAGTAGTCATCGCTCCCATTTCACAGATGAGGAAACTGAGACTTGGCGGACTTAAGACTGCTCAGGATCTCATGACTTATGAGCAAGAAGCCAGATCTGGTCCGGTTCTCAGGAGGTGCTGCCATGGGCATGGGGTTGCTACCCGCAGGAGGTGGGTCCCGTCCACTGGGGACAACAGGCACTGTGAGGCCCGTGAGTGAGGCCCGAGCTGCATGCCAGCCCTCCTGGCGCTGGGTACACTGGTAAACCCAGAGGCACCCCGAGCACACGTCTCCACTCACACTGAGATCCAGTTCAGAAACATCGTGCTCTCTGGGTGTTGCATCTGCGTTGGCCCTCTCTGTTCAATGGCCACTTTGTGAAGTATGAACTACTCCGTTCTGAGGAAATTTAAGCCTATTCATATTAGTCGATAAACCCTTTCCTTTCTAGCATTAAGGAATGAAATTTGACTTTCCAAATGTTTTCTGTGGAAACAAATTGGAGAGCTCATGCCTGCCAGGCAGGAAACCCAACCCTCCAGTGAAAGTCAGATCCTTTCTTGGTGATAATAAGCACTTGTGTGTGTGTGCCAGACAAATTGAGATTCCCGCTCACGTCACATCCCTCTGGTCAGAGAGCAGATTTCACCTGGCGGACTCTGGACAGAGGCCACCTCGCATTTGTGCCCACAACAGCACAGCTTTGTCTGGGACCAGAGTTTCATGTGCCATGGACAGTCCTGGCATTTTTGGAAAGCGTGGAGACTGGGGTTTTTTCCACTATAAGCTTACCACTGATACTCTCTCTAAATGCCCCACTTTTTTCTGAATAACTAAAGTGTGTCTCAGCTGCACGTGTTAGGCAATTCACAGGAAAGGATCTAAACTTTGGGGTCCTCACCTGGGAAGCAGGGCTGATGGCTGTTCCTCACAGGGTTTTGTTGACAATTCCATGTGTTGTTGCACATGAAAGGCACTGCAGCATCAGTGCTGGTATGGGCTGATGTTAATCCTGCTGGTACTAGTAGATAAGATTGTATTAAGTGCTCTTCGCTAGAGTGAAGTGACACTACCAAGACTTTTGTAACACGGTTTTCTGAATTAACACTTTCCTAATTGGCGGCTGCATAGTTTGCTACTTGATGACTAGAATATTATGTGTTTAAGCATTTACCACTATTGCCTATCCAGGTTGTTTGCAGTTTTTCTTTCGAGTTTCAGTTGCTTCTTTCTAATGATTTTGTACACTGAAGTATGCCCTGATAACAAATTCTCATCATTGCATCTTTGATCATTTCTACTATTTCTATTTTCCCCTTAGATAGTATTCCCACAAATAGTGTAATCATAGGGATTTTTGAAGGCTTTTGTCACTTACTGTGTCCAGATCAAAACAGACACTTCCAAGTCACAAAGTGAAGTAAGAAAAACATTCTGGTACCAGCACTAGGAAGATAAGAGTTCGTAAAGATAGAGTCAGTGCTAATATTATGAACACTGGTACCGATATTAATGAGCTTCCCTGGTGCTCAGATGGTAAAGGATCTGCCTGCAATGCAGGAGACCCAGGTTCGATCCCTGGGTCAGGAAGAGCCCCTGGAGAAGGGAATGGCTACCCACTCCAGTATTCCTACCTGGAGAATCCCATGGACAGAGGACCCTGGTGGGCTGCAGTCCATGGGTCGCAAAGAATTGAACATGACTGAGTCACTAAGCAGTGATATTAACGCTGAACATAAACAGTGACCAAAATGCATTGTCAGCATTTAATAAAACAAGGGAATTCCAGAAAAAGGAACACTTTAAAAATGTCTAGGTGAATATGTAATTATACTTTTCACTCTAAAAAACACGTGCACCTGATATGTTAAACATGCTGTGCTTAAGTGACCCTTGCTTTTGTGCAGCCCCACCAACCAGTCCGTTATTTAGACAAAGTTGTTATCTTCGATGGTTGTCTAGGTAGTTAGGACACCAGGCCTGGGCCCACCTGTGAGCGATGGCAGGTGGGTGGTTATCCTGTCAGGATAGTATCCTGTGATTATTCTGTGTTGTACATGCAGCTCAGAAAGTGCCACATGCTAGGATCAGGTGCTGCTATTTCAGTGCGGGACTTCAGGCCTGGCTTCCACTTGGCCCGGAACATCTTCTTGGAGGAGATGAGGCCTGAGAAGAGGTGCTAAAGTGGGTGTGCCTGAGGAGGGGATGTAGCAAAATGGAGCTCTTAGTGGGTGCCAGCTACTCAGAACAACCTCAGGGCCTGTCCCTTGTTACTCCCCACCTTCCCACCCCCGCCATGGCCATGGAGTTAAATCTCTCTCTGTCTCTGCTTCCCTAGTGCTGACCAGGCCCTTGACAGATTTGCAATGAAGAAGTTTTATGATGATAAACTTGCAGCTTTAATGCAGCCATCCCAGAAACGGTATGTATCTGTCCCACAGCCAGAGGGAAAGGTGGAACGATATCTTACATTTAAAAATGTAGGGACAGAAGATACACCCCCTCTGATCAGCCATGATTAGGAGGTGGGGATTGTTGGTGTCCAGTGGTGAGTGATGAGCCACCCTGCGTGGGGATGCAGGGAGCCCCTCACCCTGGCTGACTCCGGTGTGGTCTCAGGGCTCCCTCCCCACACGCTTGGCCGTCAAGTCTCCTGCACTCCCAGCTGTTGCTGGTGCTGGTTGGATCTGGTTTCTTTTTCCTGACTAGGGGTCTGTGAACTGTGTCTGTAAGGGGCTGCATGGTGGATGTGCTGGGCTTTTCAGGCCAAGTGGTCTCTGGCACAGCCCCTGTAAACAGAGGGGCTGTGGGTGGTAGGAAGCCAGTGAAAGCAGCTTATCACCAAAAAAAGCTGTTGACACATTCAGGTTCCTAGTTGGCCAGCTTCAGAGGCCCAGGAGTCCTTCTCCTTGGTCTCGGGCCCATGTCCCCTTGTCTCCTGCTCGGCATGGCCCCTGGCATATGCTGCGGCGGGACCCTGGGGAGCAGACACTCTGGCTGCCGACCCGCGGGTGAATCCATGCTGTCACCAGGCCCAGGTGGAGAAGAACTGGAGGAGGGTCAGGTGCATGGCCTGAGAGGGGCCTCAGCCACATCTTCCAGACCTGCTTCCTCTGCGGATGGGGACATAGAGCCAAGAACACTGTGTTTTTACTTCAAAGCAAATGGCAGGGCATTTGCTCAAGAACTGCCAAGGCCATCACCAAGACGGTTTTCCTGCCCCCCGCATCTCTTCCCACCAGGGCCAGAGGCCTGGGCCTGTGGACTTGGGAGGACTGAAAGCTTCATTGCCATCCAGGGGGCAGGGGCACAGGGGGTTTTTGTCCAGAGCCGACTTGAGGTATTTCCACCTGGGAAAGGGATTTCACGGGTCACCAGAGGCACTGCCTGCTTTGTTCTGGGTGTTCCCATGGCAGGTCTGTTTATGCTCAGACCAGAGTGTGTTGTGGATGTGGGATGGTGGGATGGAGCCTGGCTGTGCCCTGCTCTGACCAAAGGCCCCACAGGGCGTGTGAGTTGCCTTGGAAAAGCCAACATTTTGTTAGTATTAACAGTTAAACAGCCCCTTGATCTATTTTGAACCATTAAGTGTTGTTTCTTGGTTGAGCAGTTTCCAGAATGGTTACATTCATGTGAGCCTCTGTGTGAGATGTGAGGGAAAACAGGGGGTGACCCACCTCAAAACTCAGCACACACCAGGGAAGGATATTTGCCCTATTTTCTTCTTTTTATTCTTATTACTTACTGCAGCTTTTTAAAAAAAGTGTTTATTTTGTATTGGAGTATAGCTAATTTGGGCTTCCCTGGCAGCTCAGCTGGTAGAGAATCGGCCTGCAATGAGGGAGACCCCAGTTCAATTCCTGGGTTGGGAAGATCCCTTGGAGGAGAGCATGGCAACCCACTCTAGTATTCTTGCTTAGAGAATCTCCATGGACAGAGAAGCCTGGTGGTCTACAGTTCATGGAGTCACAAAGAGTCGGACACAACTGAATGCCTAAGCACAGCACAGCATAGCTAATTTAACGATGTTACAATAGTTTCAGGTCAACAGCAAAGGGACTCATCGATACATATGCATGTGTCTATTCTCCCCCAAATTCCCCTCCCATCCAGGCTGCCACATAGCATTGAGCAGAGTTCCCTGTGCTGTACCATAGGTCCTTGTGGGTTATCCATTTTCAATAAGCAATGTGTACCTGTCCATCCCAAACTCCCTAACTATCCCTTCCCCTATCCTCCCTACCCCTCCACACCCCGGCAACCTGTCAGTTCATTCTCTAAGTCTGTGCATCTGTTTCTGTTTTGTAAATAAGTTCATTTGTATCAAGCCTTTTCAGATTCCACATATTAATATAAGGGATATCATGTGATGTTTCTGCTGTAGCTTTTTAATACCATTGAAGGAGTGTGGAAAAAGGGAAGTATCTTCTCACTTTAACTTGCCCATGGTTCTCCCGCATGATTGCACAGCAAAAGCTGTAGTATTGACATTGATGGAGGTGGTGTGGGTTAAACCTAGCATTTCGAGGCTGATCTTCCTGCTCCCTCAGAATAGGGGATCTTATCCTGACAGCACCTGCCTCAGAAGATGCTCGCCGCCTTGTAACGGAGCAGGTTAATGACTGAGTGAAAGAATAAGTACATCTGGAAGAATATTTGAGATTGCTTTTCAAAAGCAATCTCGGGATGAGAATGGATTAATTAGAGTACAGACTTATGGACACAGGGGGAGGGGGAGGGAGAGGGTGAAATGTATGGAGAGAGTAACATGGAAACTTACAATACCATGTGTAAAATAAATAGCCAATGGGAACTTGCTCTATGACTTAGGGAACTCAGACAGGGGCTTTGTGACAATCTAGAAGGGTGGGATGGGGAGGGAGATGGGAGGGAGGTTCAGAAGGGAGGGGGACACGGGTGCACCTATGGCTGATTCTTGTTGATGTTTGACAGAAAACAAAATTCTGTAAAACAATTATCCTTCAATTAAAAAATAAATTAAGAAAATAGTGGGTTTATGAGCTGGAGAGGCTGGAGGCCCATTTGATGGGTGGCAGATTCTCGGTCACTTTGTGCCTCGCTCCTAAAAACCATGGAGCAATTGACCTGTGGCAGCCCGGCCAGCAGTGGCTGTTGGAGGTTGCTTGCTTCCAGCAGAATTCCTCAGGCAAGAGCACTTATCTCTTCTTGCACCTTTCGCCTTGAGCAAGCCTCAGGAGCAGCTTGAGGTCACCCGCAGGTGACCTTCTGTGGGGATGATGAACCTTCTGCTTCAGAGAGGCACCCGTGACCTTGGAGGCCCTTTCACTTTGACAAGTAATTAAAAAAAACCCTCCTACAGCCTTAGTTATCAACAGCATCATGGAAGTGATGACTTAAATGATGAAATTTTCTGATCTCCTTTTCTTCTCCCCTTTTCCTTTCCTTCTGTGAAGGAGTTAGGAGTGAGTCCCATGAGTTTGGGTTTGTTTAGGGGGAAGAATGACAGGTGACTGGCTCTTTCTCTGGGACAGCAAGTCTCTCCTGAGAGTTAGGGGAAAAGAGATACCCCGGAGGTCCTGGGTGAGGGTGGTTCCCATGTCCCATGAGGTAGAGGAAGAGAAGCCAGAAGTCTGGGCCTGCAGAAAGCTAGATTGGATTCCTAGGTGTTTCTAATAGCTGGAAAAGTTCCCCAACATTCCAGCATTCTTTGATACTTAAGTCCCTTGGGCAGCCAAGAGATTAAACTAGTCCATCCTGGAAGGAAGTCAGTCCTGAATATTCATTGGAAGGACTGATGCTGAAGCTGAAGCTCCAATACTTTGGTCCCCCGATGCAAAGAGCTGACTCATTGGAAAAGACCCTGATGCTGGGAAAGATTGAGGGCAAGAGAAGGGGGCAACAGAGGATGAGATGGTTGGATGGCATCATTGACTCAGTGGACATGAGTTTGAACAAACTCTGGGAGGTGGAGGACAGGGAAGCCTGGCGTGCTGCAGTCCATGGGGTTGCAAAGAGTCGGACACGACTTAAGGACTGAGCAACAACCACAAAAACCCCACAGTCCTCTTTTTTCCAGGTCACACTCAGGTGGCCTAGAGCGGAGCTTCTCAGCCGCTCAGCTAAGAGACTGACGAGTATGAAAGAGTTCTGGGACAGCAGGATGAGGCCACCCTGAAGAAAAACTCATGAAAAATTCATTTTACTATACAGAGGTTTTCTTTACCCCTCCCACACCACACACACTCGTTGGTGGTGCACAGAGAGGAGATTTGCTTGATTTATGGCGTCAAGTGTCCCATCACACACAACCAAGAGTGCCTCCCTGGACTGAGGCCACGGTCACTGTGGGATCTGGAGTTTCAGGTTTGCCAATGAGGGTTGCCTGGAGGAAGGCCCCCGAGAAGGGCAAGGAACCTGTGCCGTCCCCCTTGGCCATGTTCCCCTGTCTGGGTTCCGGGTGGTGGGCTGGGGTGATAGGCAAGGCCCCTGGGCTTACATCAGCTCTTTTATGTTAGCCATCAGCCACGGCTGGGGGGAGCAGGCAAGGGTGCTGTCTCCACGCTGTCCATACACTTTACAAAAATAAATGTACAAATGACCCTTGTCACCTGTCCCTCTCTTAGGAGGTAGATAGTGACATGAGTTGGTGTCAGGTTTTCTTCAAAGGCCGTTCTGATGGCAGTTAGGCTGCTAACAAACGTTATGCTAACTTTTGCAATATCACAAAATCTAGAACTTGTACTCAGAAGTTATAGTTGTACTGTATGCTATGAACAAGTAACCAAAAATGACTTCAGCTCCTCAAAGTTAGGCAGTAAAATTGCTGAAAAGTAGCACTAACTAATAGAAAATACCCTGAAATATAAAATAATTTTGTATTTTTTCCTTATTCAGAAAGCATGTGAAGGAAGGAGTAAGTTGCATTGTACAATATTTTTGTCTTTGATTTACCTATGAATCCATATAAAGCAGATTTTTATAAAGGGCAGATGAGAACTGTAGACCAAGAGCTTGACTGCAGTGGTTTCACGATGAACTGGTCAGAAGCGCAGGTGTCCGGGATCGCCTTCCTCCCCTCTGTCTCTAACCCCATGTGAGTGTGAGCCCTGGTCTTCCGGCTCCTACTTCTCTGGGGATGATGACACTGCTCCTCAAAGAAGCACCTTTTCACGCTCCTTCTGGCCACTGGGCGGCAGTGCTGGCCAGGCTGTGTCAGTGCAAGGGGAGGACCCTCCATGTTTGCATCAGAAAGTGAAACGGGGACTTCCCTGGGGGCGCAGAGGATGAAAGTTCACCTGCCAATGCAGGGAAACCGGTTTAATCCCTGGTCTGGGAAGATCCCACATGCTGCGGGGCAGCTGAGCCCATGTGCCACCGTTAGAGACCCCGTGAGTCGCAACTGCTGAGCCTGTGTGGTATTAAAGCCCCTGAGCCTAGAGCCTGTGCTCTGCAACAGGAGAGACCACCACACTGAGAAGCCCACGCACTGCGATGAAGAGTAGCCCCTGCTCACCGCAACTAGAGAAAGCCTGCGTGTAGCAACAAGGTTCCAGCACAACCAAGAAAAAAAGTGAAACAGAAACTGACCACCCCCTGCCTTCCGTGATGCCTGGTCTGTGCTCTGGTGGATCCCTGAGATGTCCAGACTGAAGGGCCATCTTCCTTGGAGTGGTCAGTGCAGGCTGAGCAAACGGCCAGGTACCCATGGAGTAAACACACCGGCTGGGCCGCTGACAAGGCCAAGGCAGCGGGTTGTGGGGTGACCAGGGCTGCCCAGCACTGGAGGAAGGGAGACTGCTGTCCAGAGCGGGCAGGGATTCCCAACCCCAGTTCAGCATCCCTTTTCATAGGCTTAAAAGCAGGGGGCCGGAGAACCCAGAAATCTGCAGTGCATGGCATTTAGGTGGTTAGATACTGGTGCACAGGTCACCTGAACATTCCTGTGTCTGCCCACAGTGGAATCGAGGCATCTGTTGTTCAGGTAGAAGATAAAACGAGAAGGCCTGTGGAGCCATCTGGTGGTCAGAACCCTGCAGCCATGGCCTGGCTTTGTGGCCTCAGGACCCCCAGGGCTTCCATCTGGTCTCTGTGGCTTGGGTGAGGGAGGTTTTGTCCTCTTCGGAAGGGGAAGAGCGATTTGCCACCAGGAAAATGTGAACACCATCAAGGGCGCCTAAGTTGAAGCTAGCTTTTTTTTTTTCTAAGTAGAGTTTTTAAACTATTTTTAAAATTTAGTGGATATTTCCTCTTGTTCAGTTTGCTTTGTATGCAAATTCAGCTGCTTGAGATAGTGGACTGCATCCGAGTTGCTAGTGTAAATTAGATATTTTTAAAAATTTAGATGTACTTGACAAATGACATTGTGTAAATTTAAGGTGTATGAGATGTTTTTTAAAATTTATTTTGAAATTTGTTTTTAATTGGAGAGTAATTGCTTTACAATATTATGTTGGTTTCTGCCATCTATCAACATGAATCAGCCATAGGTATGCACATGCCCCCTCCCTCTTGAACCTCCCTCCTGCTTCCCACCCCATCCCACCCTTCTAAGTAGTAGTAAGTAGCCTGGTAGTCTGTGACAACCTATTCATTTTATTTTTTGACTGCGTGGAATCTTTATTGCTTTGTGCAAGCTTTCTCTGGTTGCAGCAAATGGGAACTACTCTTGGTTGCAGTGCAAGGGCTTCAATAGTTTTGCCACACAGGCTTAGTTGCCCTGTGGCATGTGGACTCTTCTGGGACCAGGATCGAACCCATGTCCTCTGCATTGGCAGGTGGATTCTTAACCACTGCTCCACCAGGGAAGTCCTAAGTTGTATGACATGATAGTTTGATGCATTCATATATTGTAGTATGATTGCTATTGTAGCCATAATTAGCGTCTCTGTCATATTACATAATTATACTCTATTTTTAGTGGTTGGAATAATTAAGTTCTATCTCTTAGCAAGTTTGATAATTATAATACAGTGTTTATATTTACTGTGCTCATGCTGGTGTCCTGTCGCTTCAGTTGTGTCCAACTCTTTTGTGACTCCATGGACTGTGGCTCACTAGGCTTCTCTGTCCATGGGATTCTCCAAGCCAAGAATATTGGAGTGAGTTGCCATGCCCTCCTCCAGGGAACCCTGTGTCTCTTGCATCTCCTGCATTGCAGGCGGATTCTTTATGGCTAAGGACTGGGAAAGCCCATGCTTACCATACTGTGCATTATATTTCTAGAGCATATTTACTGCTCATTGTAAGTTTGTACCCTTTAAAAATTCTGTCCTGTCCCCAAAGCCCTAACCCCTGGTAACCACCATTTTACTCTGTTTTTGTATGTGTGGCTTTTTTAGATTCCATATGTGAGTGATATTATACCACAGGGAGATATTACCTCACACTTGTTAGAAAAGGCAGTGGTCAAAAGACAAGAAAAAACAAGTGTTTATGAGAATGTGGAGAAAAGGGAGCTTTGTGCACTGTTGGTGAGAATGTAAACTGGTGCAGCCACTATTGAAACGAGTGTGGAGGTTCCTCAAAAAATTAAAAATAGAACTACCATATGATTCAGCAATTCCACTTCTTGGTATATTTCTGAAGGAAATGAAGACAAGCTCTGGAAGAGATCTCTGTAGTCCCGTGTTTCTTATTCACAATAGCCAAGATGTGGAAACAATTTAGATATCCTAAAGTGGGTGAATGAATAAAGAGTATGTGGTAAAAATGTATGATGGAGTGTTACTCAACCACAAAATATAATGAAATTCTGCCATCTGCAACAACATGGATGGACCTTGAGGTCATTATTCTCAGTGATACATGTCACAGAAAGCCAGAATTTTTTTAACCTAAGTGGGAGGAGCCTGAGTAGCGTTCGGTCCTAGGGTGTTTGTGTGGGGGATGTCCCTGCTCTGTGGGGAGTGGACTAGAGTGAGCTGGCTGCAGGCTATGGAGGATATTGTGCTGGCCACATGGCCTGGTGATTCAGTGACTGCTTCCTTCCTGCGCCTGCGTGGCTCTGTGAAGGCGTTAGAGATGTACAGAGACGTTGGAGGTCGCGGGGTTTGTGTTTGCTCAGGAGTCACGCACAATGGCTAGAGAGAGGGGCTGAGGCCGGGCAGCCTCTGCGAGGTTGGCGGGTCTGTGGCCTCTTGGGTAGGTGTACCCTATCACCTTGTGCCTTGGGAGAAACCAGTGAGGAAGCACTTCTCGGGTGGATCCTTCTCTCTAGACTGTCAAGCACCCTCGCAGGGTGCAGGTGTCAGCATGGCACACGAGGCTGTGAGTGGTATTGAGGGAGAAGAGGTCTCCCAGATTACCGCGGACATGCTCATCCCACCACTGAGATGGGCGGTGAGGAGGAAGGGCGCAGAGGAGATGGAAGACAGGAGGGCGGGGTGGCTCAGGCGGCGGGGGAGCCTCACAGTGAGATGGGCATCCACAGGCTTCCTGTGGGCTCACCGTGTGGACTCCAGCCTTCTGTAGGTTTCCTAGTGTGAGCGGACAGAGCCGTGGGTGGGGCTGAGAGTTAGACTGAGTTACCTTGATGTAGTTTGGTTCAGAGAGCATGCTCATGTGACTGCAGATCTCTTGCTTTCCCACTCTGGGTGGGGGACTGTGACAGTCCTGGGGGCCTAGCCCTGCCCGGCTCCGGGTTCCGTGGACAGAGGTGATGCCACCTGCACTTGGGGTGCAGAGCAGGAGGCGTCATGTGTGGGGGCTCACGCCCAGGAGGCACCCTTGCTTGTGCTTCCAGATCACTGGCCACATCAGTGTGCGAGGCCCAGAGACTCTCGGTGGGGTTGTGGGCTTAGCCGTACTCTGCAGGCCAAGCCCTGGCGTGCAGATACCGCTCCTTGCTGTGAGCGGTTAGGATGGGTCCTCCCAAAACTCCCCGAAAAGCAGGCGCATTTCCTCCTTTCCCTCCGACCCCACCTGCGCTCCGAGCTGTCGTGGGAGCTCTAAGCTGCTGCCCTTTGCAGGTATGTGCAGTTTCTCAGTGGGCTCCTGTCAGGAACGGTGAAGATGAATGCTTCGCCCCTGTTCCTGCATTTCGTCATCCTGCACGGAACCCCCAACTTTGACTCGGGTGGAGGTGAGTGGCTCCCGCAGGGTGGGGTCTGGAGCTGTGCTGCCCGGCACTGGCCCCCAGTTCCGTGTGTTTATAGCTGACTCTGTCTATGTTCCAGTGTGCCGGCCCTTCCTGAAGCTCTACCAGGCCATGCAGCCCGTGTACACGTCGGGGATCTAGTAAGTGCCGCTGCCCTCTGGGGACTCCGAGAGAGCCAGGGAAGGGCCTGCTCCAGGCTGCTTCTCCCTTGGGAGGTGTGGGAGGGGTGAAGCCTGGGGAGCCCAGAGGAGGGGACAGAAGGGGAGCCATGGGTGGGTGCCCCATCACCCTGCCTGGCAGGTGTCTGCTGCTGTTACCCAGCTGGCTGTGCTCAGATGCATGGCCAAAGGGACCCGGGGGCAGGAGAGGGTCCCACACTGTGTGGAAGTAATCATATCGGAGTCTGCGATAGGGCCATGGTGTTTTGCCTGTCTCTCCCCTTGGCAGTTTAGATAAAGGGCAGACAGATGTTTCCAGAATATGTACTAATTCTAGACTTATTTGATTTGCTTTTTTGGGAGTTTGGTTTAGCATTTTATACACATTAACAGAAAATGAATAAAGGTTAAAAATGTGTTGTCATCACTCAAAACAAACTGTTATCATATGTCTGGACCTGTTGGACCCTGGCATCGGTGACACTTGGGCCGTGCCACCCTCGGCTAACCACAGAGGCTGTGCCGGCAGAACCCCATTACTCCATGCTGCGTGCCCCTCCATGCCCGGGCCTGGGGTGGGCCTGCAACCACTGGCACTGACGTTGCTCTCAGGACCCTGCCTGGCCCCATTGCTTTTTTTATACTTTTTGGACTCATTTTCATAGGAAAGAGTTTGAGGAATTGGGATTCCTGGGCCAACCAGGATATTTTGACTAATTCTAACTATGGGGTTCCTTTTTTCAGAAGGTATTCTTTCCATTAAATCATGAAATTGTGTAATGATGTACCTTCTCCTTTATTCCAAAGCAATGTTGGCCCAGAAAACCAAAGCAGGATCTACATTGCCATCGAGCCGGCCCAGCTCCTGAAAGGGGACATCATGGTGAGTGTCATGGCCTTGCCCCTGCTCTCCCAAGAATCACTGGAAAGGGAAAAACAAGCTCATCTTAAAGCAATAACATCAGGCCCTGCCCCCCGAAAACCTGTAGGAAGAAGTAGCCTTTACCTTAAGGAAATCAGTTGATTTTCTGAGTAAACCTGTTTTAATAAAAGAACTGAACAAATTGTTAGAGCCATTTGCTATGTGCACCCTTGAAATTAAAGTCCTAACTCAACCACTGCTCTTCCTAGGATTCCAGTTCCCCGAGCATAATGTGCAGTCTTAAAATGACTACGCCTTCCAGGGGCAGGCGCAGACATAAAATATTCATTGTTAGTGTCTAAGTGGGAGATACAGCTAGCGTCTTGCAGCTTGGCTTATGAGTGAAACAGTGATTTCTCCAGGTAGTTTTGATTCTTGCGTCTGCTGCTTCTTGGGGGAGACTAGCTTTTCCACCTTTGCCTTTTATCTATCTTGAATATTAAAAAATGCACACATCTAAAATAATGTAAGAGAAAATTGTCTGAAATAATGAACAACTTTGAGGCATGTGTGTACTTCCCACATGCATAGACTAGCTCTCCTGTAATCTACTTTAGGCCTAGGAGGATACCCTGTGACAAGAAGATAAGATATTTCACAAGTTGACTTTTTATTTAAGTGACTCAACCAAGAGTTCTTAGGGTTCTCATTGTGCATGTGTGTGTGTTTGTGTGTGTGTGTGATCAGTCTCTCAGTTGTGTCCGACTCTTTGTGACCCCCTGGACTCCAGCCTGTCAGGCTCCTCTCTCCATGGAACTTCCAGGCAAGAATACTGGAGTGGGTTGCCATGCCCTCCTCCAGGGGATCTTCCCGACCCAGGAGATCAGTCTCTGTGTCTCCTGCATTGGCAAGTGACTTCTTTAACACTGCACTGCCTGGGAAGCCCGTAGGATTCTCATTAGTTTTCCCATGCCTGGTTGTGGGGCTCCCCCTCCCAGAAAGAGCCCCTGATGTGGGCTGCTGGCTGCAGGTCTTCCTGAGAAGCCAGTGGGGGATTCCCTGCATCTGCCCCTTCTCTCTACCCTTTGTCCCACCTCCTTCCTTCCTCCGTCTTTCTGTCTTCCTCCTTCTGTCCCTCTCACTGTCTCTTGCCTCTCTCCTTCCTTTTGCACCATCAGTTTATTTGTCCAGCGATTCTTTTTTGAGTGTTCTGAGCATTCTGAGTTGGGCCCTAGCACAGGAAGGAAGGGCAGGACAGAGGGACATCTTTGCCCTGGAGGAGCCGGTTGGGTGAATGGATATCAGGAGTGGGATCCAGTAGCACTGCAGAGTGGGTCCTGATGACTGAGGCTGGCCAGCCTGGAGGTTCAGGTGGAAGTGCCCTCGGAGATAGGTGTGAGGCCCTGGCTTGGGGGTGCAGCAGTCCCCAGGCCTTGAGGATACCCTTGTGGAAGTTAGTTGTCTTGGGAGGTGGAAGCCAGATTGTGCTCTTTTGTGTGGCCTGAAAATGCACTGAATCACCTCTTAAGGGTAAGCCTTCTAGGACTCTTGACTTAGAGGAGTAGCAAGGATGGGAGGAGAACGTGTCTGGTCTCCAGCGGAAGGAAGGAAGCCCTGCAACTCTATATGAGCAACAGCAGATCGATACGGCCCAAGGGCATCAAGCAGAGGATGGGCCTTGAGTCCCATGCCTGGCTCCCACCAGATCTACAGCTTAATGGGGCTGGGTGGCCTCAGACAGGTCCTTATCCAAGCTTGCCCCCCCTTCTGCTGCCTGAGGCGTGTAACATAGGGATGAGATTGAACTGGAGCAGCTGGCAGGGCGTGAAGGCTACATAGTATCATCGAGGGCCGGCTGGTGGAGCCACCACCTGTACTCCTGGAAGACCCCTTCCTCCAGCAGATCTCACCCCGCTGAGTCTCCCTGCTCTCCTAGGGCAGTAGGGGCACTGCAGCCACCCTGCCACCCTGGAGCAAGGTGTCTGAGAAAACATCACGTGCTGGAATGCAGTCTGAGCAGGCTGGCAGGGTCTTTCTGAGGGGACCTGGGTGGGAGGTTGTGGTTTGGCCCTTGATAACTGGGAGGCAGGTCTGGGAATGGGCAGGGCGGGAGAGGGGAGCAGGTGGGTGAAGGAGGTGGTGGCAGATGTGCTTGGACGTGGTTCCTGTGAGCTGGCGCGGGTATGGTGCCAGGAGCCATCCCTGGGCATGCGGCGCGCTTGTTGAAGCCACAGCAGGAAGGCTCCCACCTGTGAGTTTGGGACGCTGTCTCCTGCATTGTCTTCTGATGAAAGATGGTGCCTGGGGCACACACACGGCCACATGAAAGGTGCCTGTCGTGCGTGAGCTTGGCCCCTGGCTCTTTTCAGGTACATTGGTAAGTGGCTTCCATCCAGTGGCTGCGGGGACTTGCCGCCTTGCCCTTCCCTGTGCCTTTGCCACCTCTTTGCAAGAAGTCCGAAAGTGTGATAATTAGGTCCTTCTCTTCTTGTTTCATTTCCAGTACATGCTGATGAGTCTGCTCAGTGCCCACTGGGGCCTTCTGAAGCTGCAGGTGAAGGTGTTGGGCCAGCGAGGGTCTGGGGACCACCTGCCTGAGACCTCTGGACCCAAATGAGGCCGGGGTGGGGATGTAGGGTGGACATCGGTGTGGCCGGGCGTGGTCAGTTTAGAGCCGTCAGACTGGAGCCTTCCTCTTACAGTGCTGGGAGCGCATGGCCTGCATGCAGGGTTTTCAAGGGGAGGGGAACCCCCCCCCCCAAGTCACGGGAGAACAGAGATGGGTGCAGCACAGGCCCCATCGGAGTCGGAGGAATGGCAAGAAGCCTGGCGTGGCCCTCAGAGTGCGCGGGCTGCACCCTGCTCAGAGGAGCTGGGGAGGAAGAACTGGCGCCTCTCCACTGGGTCAGACGCCTCACTCCCTGTGAGCACCCTGCCTCTGCTGCCCGCTTTCTAGTCTGGGTTTTAGGGAAGGACAGGTCACGCTCAGCGGCCCCTGCCTTCTGCTCTCCTCCCTCCCCCACCCCCCAATGGCCATCTCCCTGGTGTTCGCCATCACGTGGGTGCTGCTCTTCATGGGGCCTCCTCTTCCCTCAGCTCTGCCTGTAGCCCCTCCTGTCCGGGTGGTCCCCGGCTCCTGGCAGGTCTGCTGTCCTCTGGGCAGCCCCGTTTCCCAAGTACTGCTCCTTCTGGCAGGAGCAGCTGCTCCGAGGGGTCCAGGCTGCCTCTTACTTGCTTCTGTCTTGGGTCCAGCCCCCCTGGAATCCGTTCTGTGCTTCCTAGGACCATCCCCCCCATTCCCCAGACCCCGAATGGGAACTTCCTCTTGGCATCTGCATGCCCCACATCTCATCAGTCATGCAGCTCCTTTACCCTGATATGCCCTAGATCCCAGGACTGCTTGTGTCCCCGAGCCCTGTGCCTCACCGCGTGACCCCATCTGAGCACGGTGTTCTACTGCCTGGGCCCAGCATCCTCCGCACAGTGGGAAGAGAGGGTCCAGGCTCCTGTATGTGGCCTAGGAGCCCCTTGGTTTACTGCTCCCTCAGTCACTTAGCCCCAGAGATGCTGTATTATTTGTCTTGTTCTGCACACGGCCCCATGGCCCTTTGCTGCAGGTCTTGCTGGTGCCGCCCACCCATGTCATCCATATTGGACACATGGCTATACCTCCCTCAGGCCACATTTGATGATCTCTCATAGGTGGATGCCGAGCCCTTGAGGTGGGTGGTTGACTTGTCCCAGCCTCTCCAAAGCCAGTTGTTGTGCTTCTCAGGGGTGGCAGCTCACCCTTGCTGTGAGCCCAGGGTGCCATCGTCCCCACCTTATTGCCTGGAGCCCGCCCCAAAGGTGCAAGTCCTTGGGCAAGTTCACACTCTAACATGCCCTGAAGGCTGCTGCTTGTGTGAGGGGACAGCCTGGCTGGATGAATGATGCTGCAGGAAGCTGAGAGGTCTGGCATTCAGGTGTTCTGTTGCCTGGGAGTCTATTGAGGGGAATGTTTCCTGCCCTGAAGGTAGCCTTTCCTTGAATTTTTGTTTCCATCAGCAATGGGGGCAAATAGGATCTCCCAGATCTCATCACAGGAAATGCTTAACTTGATAAAACCAGCCCCTTCCTGCACCTCTGTCCATTCTTAACATGGAGTATTTTTGGATTGAATTATTATTTGATTTATACTTCCTGTGTTTACAGTTCATTTTTGTACACTCTGCACTTATTTTTTTGCAGCATTATCAGACGGGGGAAGGGTGATACGGGTTACAGCTGGAAGTGGGTAATTTTCCATCCCACGGGGTAATTTTTCCTTGCTTCATGTGTAGAAATGATTACCCAGGAGGTTTAGTTGTTGATCTCTGTGAAGCCTTAAAGTGGCTCTAGCCTCTTGTATTAGTTTCCTAGGGTTGTCATGACAAAGTGCCACAGACTGGACGCTTAAACATCAGACATGAATTCCCTCACAGTGCTGGAGACTGAAAGGCAGAGATCGAGGTGTTGGCAGTGCTGATTTCTCCGGAGGTCTTTCTCCTTGGTGTGCAGATGACTCTTTTCTGCCTAGGTGCTCACGTCATCTTCCCTCTGCATGTGTCTGGGTCCTGGCCTCTTCTTTAAAGGACCCCAGTCAGATTGAATTAGGGCTCACCTGTATAACCTCACTACCCTCACCACCTTTAAGACTTCAGCAAATGAATCTTGAGGTCACAGAATTCAGCCCATATGTGTCCATTGAGTAAACCCAGTCTAGAATAAATCGTCTAGTCAAAGGTCCATCTAGTCAGAGCTATGGTTTTTCCAGTAGTCACGTATGGATGTTGGATTATAAAGAAAGCTGAACGCTGAAGAATTGATGCTTTTGAACTGTGTTGGAGAAGACTCTTGAGAGTCCCTTGGATTGCAAGGAGATCCAACCAGTCAGTCCTGAATATTTATTGGAAGGACTGATGCTGAAGATGAAATTCCAGTGCTTTGGCCACCTGATGGGAAGAACTGACTCATTTGAAAAAACCCTGATGTCAGGAAAG